CCAGGCCCCAGGCCCCGACAAGCGGCCGCCAAGGAGTGAGCCGGTGTGTACCCGGACGCCCACCCCCAGACACAAAGAACCACCAACACACCGACACCTGAGGGAGTCCGCCACCGGCAGGGAAGTGGTGGTGGGTGGAGATAGGCCTCCAAACCTTGGAGGGCCTGAGGTGTCCCCAGAGAGGTGGCATCTGATACCCAACCTGACATATAGACACAGACATACAGGCACACACAGACACAAACATCCATTCCCACCCTCATGCTCTCATATGCACTCACTCCACACTCAACCAACGTGGAGACAGACATAAAGAGACGCTGTACGCACAATCACACTCCCCAAGCGTACTCTACAAACCGGGTCTAGGTACCCTTGCCCCTGGAGGGGGGAATTGCACCCAGACACTCCACTCCAAGTATTTCTCAAGTTAGGCAGCTATAAGGGCTAAACGCAGTCCTGCAGTCTCTTTAATACTAGTGGTTTTATAGCCACTGCAAATATGTCAGTGACACATGGAAAAAGTGGCAGTAATTCAACAGGTTTGACCAGCCCACAACCCCCCACTCTCCTACCTCCGCTCCCCCCCCCCCCCCTTCCTGACACTATGACACCCCCCTTCTCCAACCCCTCTCTCAACAGCAGGACATCCTCCCCCCTCCTTCCAATCATCTCCCAGTGTCACAGTGGATCAGGTCAGGAGGCAACTGAGGAAGCTTCGCCCCAGGAAGGCAGCAGGCCCAGACAAGGTGTGTCCGAGGATGCTAAAGGCGTGTGCTGCTGAACTTGGAGAGCCGCTATAACAAGTCTTCAATCTCAGTCTGTGACTGGGGAGAGTGCCCGTCCTATGGAAGACATCCTGCATCGACCCGGGCCCCAAAAGGAACCGGCCCAATGAGCTGAATGACTTCCGACCGGTGGCACTGACGTCACATCTTATGAAGACTCTAGAGCGGCTCTTCCTCAACCTCCTCCGACCACAGGTACAACATCCCAGGACCCACTACAGTTCACATACAAGGCGGATGTCGGAGTGGAGGATGCCATCCTGTACCTCCTACATAGAGCCCACTCACACCTGGACAAGGGAAAAGGCACGGTCAGGATCCTGTTTCTTGACTTTTCCAGTGCCTTTAATACCATCCGGCTCTGTATGCTCCATTAAAAACTGAACAGGATGGAGGTGGACCCCTGCCTGGTCGCTTGAATCTCTGACTACCTCACTGACAGACCACAGTACGTCAGGCTGAAGGACATCACGTTTGACACTGTGGTCAGCAGCACAGGAGCACCACAGGGAACTGTGCTGTCCCCTCTTCTCTTCACCCTGTACACCTCTGACTTCTGCTACAACTCTGAATTATGCCATATTCAGAAGTTTGCAGATGACACAGCCATCATGGGGTGTATCTGGGATGATCAGGAAGAGGAGTACAGAAGTCTGGTGAGGAACTTCGTCACATGGAGTCACACAAACCACCTGCAACTCAACACCTCAAAGACTAAGGAACTGGTTGTGGACTTCGGGAGGTCCAGAGAAGGTCCACTGCCGGTTCAGATAGAGGGGGAGGAGGTGGAGGTGGTCAACAAGTACCTCGGGCTGTGGGTGGACAATAAACTGGACTGGTCATGCAACACAGAGTACCTGTATAAAAAAGCCCAAAGCCGACTGTACTTCGTCAGGAGGCTGAGGTCTTTTAACATCTGCAGGAAGCTCCTGAGGATGTTTTACCAGTCAGTGGTTGCTGGAGTACTTTTCTATGCTGTGGTGTGCTGGGGGAGCAGCACAGCAAAGAGGGACTCATCCAGGCTGGAAAAACTGATCAGGAAAGCTAGCTCTGTGGTCGGCATGAAGCTGGACACTCTGGTGACAGTGGTAGAGAAAAGGACACTAAAAAAGCTGCTGGACATTATGGACAATGCTGGGCATCCTCTGCACACGGCCATAAACAACCAGAGGAGTCTGTTCAGTGACAGGTTGCTTCTCCCAAAGACAAGAACCAACAGACTTAAAAACCTCCTTTGTCCCACACGCCATCAGACTGTTTAACGCCTCTCTGGAGGGGAGAGGGAGGGGAAACAGGAGGACAAAGGAGGGGGGAACAACTAAGCTGTAGTGCCTCTTCACCTCACTGTGCAATACTTTTTATTAATAGTCAACGGTGCAATAGACTTCAATACTTGAAATGTGCAATTCCCTTGTATTCTTATTCCTATTTATTCTATTTATCCCTTTCGTATATTTTATTTATATATGTCTCTGTATTTATAGATGTGTATATATATAATATTCTGCTCACGTTCTGTAACTTCTGTCGGTGCTGTGCTTTTGGAAACCGAATTTCCCAGAGGAACCCACCCGAGGGATTAATGAAGTTTTATCTTATCTTATCTTAATTACCAGGACACAAGTATGTGTTCTGTCATCGTCCTAAATAAGAACACTCAGTCATTTGTTCCCTCAATCCAATTTTATTCTCCCATGTAAACATTTACATCCTAATTTCAGCGACTGCGTCGTCAGAAGAAATCTAGTGTACATGCTCCCAACTGCGCCTCAAAGGTGCGGCTTGAATAACGAACAACCCATCAGCCTCTGGGTGCAGGTTCAATGTATGTAGCCCGTGTGTCAGGCTGGTCAATGCCACGACAAACTTAGCATCTTAAGTGTGACCGTGGCTGGAAGTCCCAGTGGAACAAGGCGTGGGTAGGGGGAGGAGGAGGCTTCATCACCTCCTTCATCACACGCAGACGTGAGAGTAAGACGGCGGGTCAATGAGAAGCTCTGACTGTAATCGGTCACTTCGAATCCCAAATATGAAAGAGAGACTCGGCATTAAGTGACACACAGTGTTAGAAAATCGATGCCTGTCATGACGCTGTGTTGTGAATGGCTGAGGTTTGTTCTTAGGCTTCAGTTTAGCAGGCAGGGGGATTTCAGCCAGCGAGGGAGCGAGTCTGACTTCAGCGTCTTGCAGGGGTTTAGAGGAACAGCTGTCAGAAAATGTTCTAATTTACTCGTCCGCGTGGAAGTCCGTCACTTTCATACACCTGCTGTCATGTACACTGAGCCATCTTCATTTAATCATCTGTAATAATGGATTCCAGGGCTTCGAGGAATACCCTGTCTAGGACTATTAAACTGCAGGACTTGCAAGATGCATTTAAAAATAAAAAGAGAGGCAAAATTTCATCAAGTTTCAGACATGCAGTATCTGTACGGTGGCCCTCAGGTGCAAATAATAAAAACTATTTGACGAAACACACAAGACAAACACAACCACAGCAAAAGGCGAAAAAGTGCATCATCATTTTGTGATTTTTGTTTGTTTGTTTTTGTTGTTGTTGTTGTTTTCTGCCATGTTTTCTGAAATCTTATGCCTTTGTGTTGTTGTGTTTTGCACCTCAGGGCCTCTGTAGGCTCCGATGTTTTCCACAGAGCGTCTGTTTTTCATCGTCTCCGCCTAAAAAAATTCTCACATCTTTAAAGCTCTGCACATCAAGTTGATTTTGCTGCCTCTTCTGTTGTGAATCCATCTCAAAGTTTATCGCAGGATACCATAAACAACATCAATATGCCTCAGAAGGAACTCGTTATAGTGGCTGCCCTTCAAATTTGATCCAGTAAATTGATTTTGTACCGATTTTATCTATCGCTGATCGTTTTATTCTGTTTCTTTGCGAGTACAGTGTTTTTCCACTCTGAAATTTGTCTCCATTGACATTTCTTCTTCCCCTTTTTCTTCCTCTGAAGGATTGACCTTCCTCCGACACACAAGCCGCCTCCTCCCTACTCTGAGAGAGCACCGGCTGTTCCTCTGGGAGTCCACGCATCACAAGTGGCCTGGCTGTGTCAGGTAAAACCCCACTTTCTTTTTACAACCAGCTGAAAGTCACGTATGTGAATCATGACAGCTCTACACCACAATTATTAACACTGAATGAAGCGCACTGAGTCACAACAAGCAGCAGTAACAACGAGCTAACTCATGTCATAATCTGTTTATATTAAGCAGGAGGCTCTTTGGCTTTATTAATTTAATATGTTGGAGAGTTAGATTTTTTATTTCCCTGTCCTTTTTTGGAGTCTCACACATTATAGAGGCCTAAAGGGTGACGATGATAGAAGATGATTTAGGTGATGATTTGGGTTTTTTTGCTTTTAATATACAGACTCGCAGGGCAGAGCACAGGCACGCGGTCACGGAGAGGCAGCACCCACCCACAGCAAGGCGGGGAGCCCAAAGCCCCACCCATCAGCGCTCCCGTCTGGAGTGGGTGTGTCATCAGAGTGGGACAGACCAGGTGTACATCAACCACCGTGAACACTACGTGTGAGGAACAGTTCCAATCGCAGTCCACCAATCACCCGGCAGTCACTCTGCCTGAGCAGCAGCGAGCTTATAGGCTTCACCTGATTCACAGAGCCATCAGTCCACAGAAGGAAGCGGTTGGTAGTGTATGAGGAAAGTGTCTCTCTATATGCAGGCTTTTTTTTTCTCCTTAAAACATAAATCCTTTCTGCTGTACGCTGGCTGTCACCCGTAGACTGTACAAAGAAGGTGGACATTGTCATGTTAGCTCCTTTAAACCAAATCTCACAGTTGCAGGCAGATCTGAATATAAAGCTGAGGGACACTGCAAGCTCATACAGTAGAAACCTGTCAGTCACAAAGTAGGCTCACATTAAAGCGTTTATTTTTCATACAAATGGGGACTAAAATTTACACAAACAACGTTATTTAGTATCATCATAGATTGAAAAGTAGAGCCTAAAAACTCATCAGATAAGTGTTCACTGAGGGCTCAGCAGCTGCTTTCCCATAGACTTTTATGAAACCGGATTTCTTTTGAAATCACAGGCTTTCTTGCTGGCTGTTAAAAAGCATTTTTAACCCTGGCGTCCACATATGTGGACATCACATTTTGGGTTATTTAGACCAAAATACTACATTTTGCTCTACAAGGGCCTGATATCCACTTACGAGGACATTATACTGCTACTGTTCGATCGAAATTTTAAAGGAATATCCTCATATGTGGCTCTCATTTTTCTTAGAAACAAAAATAAGGCACTCCTAAAGACACTCCTCCAACGCAAAAGCTACATCCATCTTTCATATACAGTCTATGGTGACACACTCTTGTCTATACAGTAAATATGTAGCTATAGCCAGCAATCTGTTAGCTTAGCTTAGCACAAAATTAGAGATACTAGGGGGAAAAGGGCATTTCACAAAAGGTCCAACTATTCATTTAATTACCTTTTGTTATAAGTTCTCAGTGTGTATTACTTAGGGTACCGAAGTGCTTTAGAAGAACTAACTGCATCAGTTTATATGCCAATACATGAGTAAAAGTGGTTAGAGACTAGATTAATGTCAGAGTTAGCCTGCAAAAATAAAGTTTTCTTTTTTTTCTTTGTTGGAGAGCATAAATCCATATTCTCAGTCACATCACCAGACCAAACTGTGAGGTCCAGTGAGACTAAATATTCTAGCTGGCAACACAGACATAAAGGGATTAAAGTACTTCTATCGCAGCCCTGTGATGTGCGGTTGTAATGTTATGATGCTGTTCTTTTTTTAGGAACAAAACATGTAGATTTGTAATCCTGTGGAGACTTAACCTACCACAAATCAGGGAAACGACGATATGCAACAGTACAGATTACTGTTTTTTGGTTTCATGTGCACTGAAGAAAGATGCTTGCATTGTTTTTGTTAAACTAAAATAGATTACATAGTTCATAATCCTGTAGGATATACAGTGTCTGATTATTATTGTGAGGAGCCAGAGAAAGAATATTTTTAAAGTGCCATTATAACATTTGGCAGGGGGGAGGGGATTCCCTGCTGATACGTGTATGCTGTAGTGCTCACATTCCTCCACTGTGACTAGATGGTTTTGAGCTATTTTTTTGACTGGCGTATGTATTAAAAGTGCATATTGTTGCCAAGTGTGTTCTCAGTTGGAAACATATCAAAACCACTTGAAAAGCTATAGGAATAGAAGAAAGAGTCTACTGAATTGCTGTGTGAAGACAGAACGCTCCAGATGAGGGTGTTCAGTGACCTTTTTAAAGTAAACACTCTGAGAGATGGAAGCTCTGAGTCACGACACGGGGAAACAAGAGAAGAAGTCCTTGAAGATTTGAAAAAGAGTTTGTAGTGACGAAAAGAGTTTGGTTTTATTTATTTTTTTAAGGGAAATAAAAATCATCTCAAGGTCACAGTCACATTGCAATTACTGTGACGCCCACATCAAAGAGAAAAGCTCTTATTATTACCGTGAGTCAGTGATGTGGTGTTTGTGCTGTGGAAAGCCAGAGCTCACGTTGTAATGACACCACAGTGAGGGTGGAGATGTTTGAAAGAAATCAGTGATTTGTTTAGATCAGTCCTCGTGTTACGGGCTCCTGCGAAGACTTTCCTAGGGTAACACCTAGTGGACAAATGGGTCAGCGCAACCCCTGATAGAGCGTGTGCATCACTGAATACATAATGCGACCCTTGGCTGCTCCTTGTCAGAGAGAATTAAAACTTGGGTGGCTGCAGTCTTACCGTCGAGCCTGTTTACACAGTGGAAAACTGCTAACCCTTTGGCACAGACGTCGTTTTCACAGCACAAAACTACAAGCGATGGAATAAATGATGCATTAATTCCATTTAGATGTTTCTCTATCAGAATCCTGGTGCTGTGATTGCTCCCGCCGTCATGTCTCACTGAGTGTTGTTACATTCTTTATAACACCAGCTGAAATATACACTATGAAAGAAGTTAGCTTAGGCAGTGGAGGAAAATTGATTAATTAAACACTACTGTGCAAAAGTGAAGAGTCACCCCTCCTTTCTTTATGTTTTGCTTCCTAGGAGCCAGACTTTCTTTTCATTTAAAAGTGATATTTAACAATGGATCTGATTTCAGAAGTTTTTCTCTGCTTCAGCTGATCCATCTGCTGTTCACTGAAGTCTCATCAGAAATGGTCTCAGTGGGGTGGGGTGTGGGGGGAGGCTGTCAAAAAGCCATTCTTAAGGAAGGGAAACAAGGAGAAAATGCTGACATATGGACTAAAAATCAGCTGCAACAGGTCTCTTGGACTGATCGATACTGAATAAAGTTGGTTTTACCAAATATTGACTTTCACGTTCAATGGAATTGTACAAACTGTTTTTGCCTTATATACTGTATTTTCATGTATACGTACTTAAACAAATAAACGAGGGGTTGAGCTCAAGAGTTTTGCATGGTACTGTTTGTGAAGGCACAGAGGAAACTCGTCTTTATTTGTAGTAAACAAGATTTTATTTGGGAGCAAAATTACAATAGAACATCACAATAAAAAAAAATCCATTACAAATACAGAGTAGACCTAAAACATGGGCTAGCAGATGATGCCTGACTTTAGGCAGCTGTTATTTAAGACCATGTGTTTATACTGATGATTGTTATTACAGTGACTAAGAGAAAAAAGTCTGCTAATTTCACACGCAAAGTGCGCAGTACCACTGATACTACACTAATTCTGATATTGCACTAATGCATCATTTATGCAATCAACAGTTTTTGTTTAGAATATCCACGTTTTACTGTTCTCTGTATACTGCAGAGGTGGGTAAATATGGTTGAAGATTAGAAAAAATACTCTTTCTAAAAATAAGACTTTTGAAAATAAATCGACAGAATATTGTTGGTAAATAAAAGCATAACTATCCAACATGAGTTTTACACGCTCATTAAGACACATTAGTATGAGCAGCAGCTTCTTTTTTATGGTCTAAAACACGGAGCGTTAGAGGCTTAAACGACACTGCTGACTACTGGCTCAGGCTTGGCAGCTGGTTGCTACAATAACAAAAGAGTTCACCCAAACTCTTCTTTCCCATTCGCCCACATGTCATGTTGTTTTCTGTGCTCATGTTTGTACAAAGTCACCTAATTTCTATGTTTACAGCATGTGGTAGCAACTACTTCTAGATAAGTGGTAAAAGTGTAAAAAGCATGTTTTATACTTCACAAACTGTAATGCTGTGGGGATATATTCATTATTTTGGGGGGAAAGAATGAAATTAAAGTCCACTATTTTGCCATCAGTGCTGATAATTCCATGAAATTCCTGAAACTGCACCAAATTTGACTATAACTGATTTAATGGCTTCCTCAAATGTTCCCTGAAAGCAGTTTAAGCATCTGGTTCCTGCAGTTATGGACATGTGATAATTGATTAGCTAGTTAGTGATGGCTTAGCAAGTCGTAACTCAAAACAATGGAAGATTAGTGAATACAGCCATAATACTAAATTACTCTACACAGCGCTGTACTCATATTTATATGCACAGCGAATCACAGAAGGACAGAAGGACAATAAAGCAAGGAATGCTTTACCATTTGATTGACAAGTCATTAGCCAGGGAGCGTGTGGTGTCACCCAGTTACACAACGAAAACCGCCCCACACTCATGTCGTGTGGTTTAAAAAACATGGCAATTTTTTTTTAAAAACATTGGGTGATTTCATGGTTGCTATGTCTATCTTTTGTATACAGTCTAAGATGTTATCTAGAAAGTGCCTTTTTGTGTTTTGATCAATCAAAATGAACTGCATTTACTACAAGAGTCAATATTCCTCCCACTTGTTAAGAGTTGTACTTTTTTTATTAGCAAACTGCTTTCCCCACAAATATGAGGTCACTGTTTGTTTCTAATTAAAAGTGATTAGCACTAAGATTAAAGGAGAACACTCTCATTATTTCTCATGTAAGTCTTTTAAAGGTTGTGGGGCTGGCTGCTTACCAAGCTTTTTCCTCGACTTAGCAAGTGCAGCACTATTAATGCTGATTAATAGCAGGCGATGTTCATGTCTTTTTATTCTATGAAGCTAACAATGAATGATGCTTCATAATAAAGGCAGCAATAATGCTGCAGGGCTTCATTATAAATACTTCCACAGTTTGACAGGAACACAGCGGACTAGTTATGTAAAAATACACTTGTTATTAAAGAAAAAAAAAAGCTGTGATGTTCTGTGCCATCCATAGCCCACTCGAAGAGTATGACTGTGTGAACTGGTTCTATTAGACGCTGCCCACAGAGAGCATCACAGTAACTAAAATTCCCCTCCTCATACACCTCCTCATCCTCTCCCTCCTTCAGTGAATGGCAGCTTTGTTTAAGCTGTCAGGATCAATTATATCTTGCTCCCATAAACAAACATCATGGTGGAGAAGTGGAAACGAGCAGCCCCTCCAGCCGCCCCCCAGAGGATGTGCCCTTCCAGTCTTTCCCCAAATCCCAAATGCTGGGTGTTTTCAATACGTGACCAACACAGTTACTTTGACTTGGCTTTCTGTTTGGGCACATTCACAGCTGAAATTGCAGGTTTTGGTGCAGGGGCTGGAGGGGGCCTCACCGAATCGTACACACTGGAGAACCTACAACAAAACGGGGGCATCACAATGAAGAAAATACCAGCACCGGAGAAAAAGCCACAATTTTGCTAGCATGACATGACCAAGAACAGAAAACAATATCACATAAATGGGTAGCTCACTTACAGGCTTTTGACTCTCTTTAGAAAAGCTCTGACGGCTCTAGCAATCCTTCTTATCCGCACCTGTCACCAAAATATCACAAAGGTCAGTGCAAACCAGCAATTTCTGCATCTTACATAGAATTACATGCGATTTTTACTAAGATATGTTTCTGTTTTGTTTGGTTTTAACTATTAATCAACTTTGCTGAATCATTTTCATTGAAATTTTTTTTAACATAAAATAAACTCACCTGCTGCTTTTTGTACAGCAAAGGAAGGGAGAAAACAGCGATCACAGCTGGACAGACAAATTATTCATGTAAATGACTGGACTGCTACTTTTAGAGCACTCTAGCTGAGCACTCTAAACACTTTCTACTACCAGCCACATTCATCCATTCACACACACATTTAGGCTCCACTTTCAATCTTTGTTTTTGAGAGCTTTGTCTAACATTCACACACACACACTTCAGTAGATGCATCAGAGGCAGCTCAGGGCTCAGTATCATGCTCAAGCATGCTTTAATATGCAGTGTTGAGGAGCCAAGGATCAATCTACCAACCTTCCAATCAGTAGATGACCCACTCTACCTCCTGGGCTTTATGTCACTTTAGCATTGCACAAAAATAATCTAATTGTCTCTAATGAAAACATTCTCCTACTTAAATAATTGGGGCAAACCAGTCATCTGAGGCGACTGATGGAGGCATGACTTCAAAAGGAACTTGAGGTTTGCAGTAAAAGTTATTCCTTAAATCTTAACCGTCATGTGCAAAGTGCTTTTTTCTGCCTAAACCCAGTCACACTTTAACTACTGAGATGATAGATCACTCATGAGTCTTACAAAGAGGAAGATACATTTGAAGGTGCTGGGAGCTTAATATATGTAGGTGGAGGAAAGAGACATGGAGGAAATTAGATACGTGTGTTAGCACAAAGCATAAGTATACAGCGGGTGCAACTTACCACTTATTACCAGGGTCAGTCCATTAGTTTGGATGCCAACATAGGTCAGCAGATACAGAAGCACAACAAACTGAGAGAAAGAGCACAGAAAAAGATTACTGAACAGTTTAATAGTTTAGTTTATTAACTGTAATTTGATTTGTGAATGATGCTGCTTTAATAAATGTCTCGCTGAGATTTAAAGCTGCTGAATGTAGTCTTGATCCCATGAGAAAATGAACACTGCATGGTGGCTCTGTTTAATTTTTAGCTGCTTTTAAGCAATATAGCCTGGATTAAAACAGTACAGCTGCTCAGAGCCCCACACGAGCGTGTGTGGTGTGTAGCTGCCACCAGGTGGCACCAAAGTCAAAAAGTCTTTTAATCTTGGCTTTGTGACATCTATACTATTGCTTTACCATCACACTCATACCTTAATAGAGTCAAATATGTTTTCAATGAAAATGAGCCGTTTGATTTCTGTGACAGCAAATGCGATCAGCAGCACCGTCTCCTCCACCAGCATCACCGTCTCCTTATTTGTCAGAGAGCTGTCGTAATCCAGACATGACCTAAGCACAGGATAACACATTTGTGAGAAAGTTCAACATGCTTCCAGAAAGCAGAGGAGCAGCATATTTAGCTGGAAAAGAAAAACCTGTGTGTGAACACTGATGGACTCACTGAAAGGGGTGAACCCCGGGGTTCCAGCGCAGGAGCTCCAGGAGCTTATAATAAAAACGGAGGGGGAAGGTGATGCACATGACACCCAGAAAGACGTTGGAGACCACAGTCACGGCACTAAGCTGGAACAAGCTGGCCAGACCGATTACCAGCCCTGTAAACACCACACCAGTCCTCCACATGTGGCGCCAGTACACCAGATCCACAACTGCAAAGCAATTAAGCACAAGACATCATCTTAAATGAGTGATGCACAGAGAGCGCGGTATATCTGAGTGAATATGCAACTGAAATGGGAAGTTGTTAAGCTTAAATTAGATACAGGCTAATGTTTCTTATACTTCATGACCTGACTGTGAAGCAGGGTTACCAAGAGTGGTAACATGACAGAAGGGTGTAGAGAAGTCGATAAAACTGGAGTGGAGATAAAACTAGCAACGAGGCAGTAAGTAGTTCAAAATGAGGAAAGTACTGAAAACCCAGGAAAAGAACTTATCTATCTCTACTTATTTTAATCCCACAGAGGTCAGTTATGTTGTTGATAATTTTACTTCTTCACTGTGTAGGACTCTGGATATTGTAGCTCCTCTGAAAAAGACCTCCTACTATAACTCTCAAATCAAATATGCACCTTAAAGCAGATAACTCTAAAGCTGGAGAGTAAATAGGATCTCAGTAATTTAGAAGATTGTCATTTAGTCTGGAGAAATACTGCTGCTTTGTAAAAAAAAAAAAAAAAAAAAAAAGCCCTTCGTAAAGCTAGAAAACCTTACTGTTCATCACTGATTGAAGAACGTAAGAACAGCCCTAGGTTTCTCTTCATTAGTGTAGCCTGACTGACAAAAAGTCAGAGCACTGTTAAGCTAACCATTCCTTTAACATTAACATTATTTGAAGAATGTCAGTCAGGTTTCAGAGCTCATCACAGCACAGAAACAGCTTTAGTGAAGGTTACAAATGATCTTCTTATGGCCTCTGACAGTGGACTCATCTCTGTGCTTGTCCTGCTAGACCTTAGTGCAGCATTCGATACTGTCGACCATAATATCCTATTAGAGCGATTAGAACATGCTGTAGGTATTACAGGTACTGCACTGCAGTTGTTTGTATCATATCTATCTATTAGACTCCAATTTGTGCATGTAAGTGGAGAGTCCTCTTCACACACTAAGGTCAATTATGGTGTTCCACAGGGTTCAGTGCTAGGACCAATTCTGTTTACATTATACATGCTTCCCCTAGGCAGCATCATTAGAAGACATAGCATACATTTTCACTGCCATGCAGATGACACCCAGCTCTATCTGTCCATGAAGCCAGATAACACACACCAATTACTTAAACTGCAGGAATGTCTTAAAGACATAAAGACCTGGATGGCCGCTAACTTTCTGCTTCTTAATTCAGATAAAACTGAGGTTATTGTACTCGGCCCAGAAAATCTTATACATATGGTATCTAACCAGATTCTTACTCTGGATGGCATTACCTTGGCCTCCAGTAACGCTGTGAGGAACCTTGGAGTCATTTTTGACCAACACATGTCCGAGTGATGCTGAAAAACTAGTTCATGCATTTATTACTTCCAGGCTGGACTACTGTAATTCATTATTATCAGGATGTCCAAAAAACTCACTGAAAAGCCTTCAGCTAATCCAAAATGCTGCAGCAAGAGTCCTGACAGGGACTAGAAAGAGAGAGCAGATTTCTCCTGTTTTGGCTTCCCTTCATTGGCTTCCTGTTAAATCCAGAATTGAATTCAAAATCCTGCTCCTCACATACAAGGTCTTAAATAATCAGGCCCCATCTTATCTCAATGACCTTGTAGTACCATATCACCTTATTAGAGCACTTCGCTCTCACACTGCAGGCCTACTTGTTGTTCCTAGAGTATTTAAAAGTAGAATGGGAGGGAGAGCCTTCAGTTTTCAGGCCCCTCTTCTGTGGAACCAGCTTCCAGTTTGGATTCGGGAGACATACACTATCTCTACTTTTAAGATTAGGCTTAAAACTTTCCTTTTTGTTAAAGCATATAGTTAGGGCTGGACCAGGTGACCCTGAATCCTCCCTTAGTTATGCTGCAATAGACGTAGGCTGCCGGGGGATTCCCATGATGCATTGAGTTTTTCCTTTCCAGTCACCTTTCTCACTCACTATGTGTTAATAGACCTCTCTGCATTGAATCATATCTGTTGTTAACCTCTGTCTCTCTTCCACAGCATGTCTTTTATCCTGTCTTCCTTCTCTCACCCCAACCAGTCGCAGCAGATGGCCGCCCCTCCCTGAGCCTGGTTCTGCCAGAGGTTTCTTCCTGTTAAAAGGGAGTTTTTCCTTCCCACTATCGCCAAAGTGCTTGCTCATAGGGGGTCATATGATTGTTGGGTTTCTCTCTGTATCTATTATTGTATGATCTACTGTACAATATAAAGTGCCTTGAGGCGACTGTTGTTGCGATTTGGCGCTATATAAATAAAATTGAAATGAAATAAAAATGAAATACAAGATCTTGAATAATCAGGCCGTATCACCCCATTAGCTCTCAAACTGTGTGCTTACTTGTGGTTCCTACAGTATTTAGAAGTAGACGGAGAGACAGACGCCATCTCCACTTTTAAGATTGGGCTTAAAACTTTCCTTTTTGCTAAAGCACATAGTCAGTGCTGGATCAGGTGAACCTGAATCCTCCCGTAGTTATGCTGCAGTAGGTGTAGTCTGCTGGCGGATTCCCATGATGCATTGAGTATTTCTCCTTCAATCACAATTCTTACTCTCTTTTTGTTTATACATCTCTCTGCATTTAATCATTACTTATTGTTAATCTCTGGCTCTCTTCCACAGCGTGTGTTTTGTCCTGTCTTCCTCCAGTCGCAGCAGATCGCTGCCCCTCCCTGAGCCTGGTTCTGCTGGAGGTTTCTTCTTGTTAAAAGGGAGTTTTTTGCTTCCCACTGTTGTCAAAGCGCTTGCTCACCGGGGCTATATGATTGTTGGGGTTTTCCCTGTTTTCTTGGTATTACTGCAGGGTTACATTAGGGTTACCTTACAATATAAAGCGCCCTGAGGCTGTTGTTGTGATTTGGTGCCGTGTAAATAAAAATTAATTCATTCGGTTTTGAAAACATATGAGGTATACAAAAGATGCCATGTGCTACTTTTGCTAGTACAGTGAATGTTTTAAACTAAAGTTAAACAGATGCTATGAGTTGCTGTATCATATTCTCCCTTTTCTCTCTGATAAGTCCCACTGTGGATATTTGAACTGTTTTGAGCCATAAATAGAGACTGAGACTTTTTCACATGGTCTCATAAAAGTCATCTAAAATTCTCTCTACCACAACGACCACAGCCAGCGGGTGTTTGAAAAATGGACACATTGTTATTTAAAGTGTAGATAAGAAAGAGAAAAGGGTAACGAAGACAAATGACAAAACAATTTTACAGAAAATGAAGGACACCCTCACCTCGTTTCATGCCATGCCATGCTCCTTTATTAAAGGAGAAAATCTTTCTGAATGAATGCTGTTTTTAATGGGATCTGTACATGTCTGAAAGTAAATCATAAATCTTTAGATTAGACACTAGATCCTTACCCACCAACATTACACGAGCATCCTAACTGCAGCACAAATTTAAGATCATTTTATGATTAAAACAGATTATTTAAAAGCAGCAGAGTATTGCTGGTTTTCATAGTTGGGTTTCCTGAGAATTATAAAAGTAGATGTATTCTTATTCATTTATAAAAACAGAAACATTAATGCTGTCACACCAGTGAAGTCACTTCAAAGCTGGGCACAAGTACGCCCTCTCATTCTTATCCGAATAACTGGAGTTATGTGTTATCAGAAGTAAAACAGCCCTGACAAGACAGCATTTCTTATCTCCTATAACAATTTAAGCCTTTACAAATAAAACAAACTACATTCAGTCAGCAGTGGGCTCTCATTTAGCTCAATCCCATTCAGCCCATCTGTCGACCAAATGAAAGACACACTGGATTCAGTGTTTAACTTGCCATCCTGCCTGCATTCACACCTGCACAGCAGAGGGAAAGTAAATAAATTCCCTTCTTCTCCACCTGACAGCTGCACTCTGACCCCGTCTGCTCTCCTTCACTTTACTTAAAGCTGTCAATATTGATTTCCTTACGTTTGGTGGCCATTTCAGCGGCGGTCCTGCTTGCTCTCCTCTCTTTCTTGTGCTTCCACCGTTGGCTTGCACTCCAGGCTTTTTTTGGCCACCCCAGCTCCGTCAGCAATATAAGGCCCGGCTGGCCTAATTTTATCCTGTATTGGATTCACACACACTCAAATTGGGAACTTGAGACTTGAGCATGTACATGCACCACAGCTTGTAGAGGCTAATGCTTCCTCAACCAGTTGGTGGCTGATTTGCACACAGAGGCCTTTCCATGCACGACAGACCATGACAGTTTTTTTTAACGTAAAATGATCATCAATCCAAACTGATAAGAAAACAACTAATGTTAGCAGGAAGCTAATGCCAAAAGCTGCGTGCTACAGCACTGACATCAAGCTGAATACATACAGTCACTGCAGTCACTTGCCACGTTTTACAGATAAGCAAGAAAGATGAGTTTCTCTATAGATTTATTATTCACTCTGCACAAATATCCCTCATGACACCTTCTGTGTGTCAGACCAAAACACGGAGCCAAACTCGCCTCGCCATCTGTATATTTAACACTTTCACTCACACCTTTAAAGCTCTAAAGATAACATAAGAACAACCTTATAAAAGAGGAAATCCATGTTAGAAAAGCACAGGCTCAGATGTATACTATAAAAGGGAGCTGTACTAACATTTGTATTTTAAAAAGCCATGATGTGTTTGCTGTACGGTATTTAGTACGAATTAAGGGTGTTATATAACTGTTATTCAACAACTGATATATTGCTAATTAATAGTGTCTAATACACATATGAAAATAAAAGTATGTACTTTTTTTTGTATGCTCTTCTACATTTATGGTTGTAGAGGGCTATACTGACGTGTCCTATCCTAGCACTGTGGCTTCATATCAAAAGGATTCTTGCTGGACCCTTCTGAGTTGCATTAGGATGTTCTTCCTGTGCTTGTATGGCTCTCGACAGTTACTCTAGAGAGCCATGTAAGCAGAATAAGGGCATGTATGTTAGATTAACTGGTGATTCTACACTGATCATACATTCAATTCAGATTTATTTATATAATATAACTCCAAACCACAACAGCAGTCACCTCAAGGTGCTTTATACTGTAAAGTAAAGACCCAACAGCATCAAAGCGAAAACCCTAATGATCCGACGATCCCCTATGAGTGCAAGCACAATGGCAATGTTGTTCATGAAAACGAGATCTCTGCAGTGAAAATCTGACATTAGCGTGAAAAAAAGGATGAAGAGATAAAAACTGTTGATCAAGCCGAGGAACATCTAACACATCTATTCTGCCTCCTCTTGGCAGGTGGTGACAAAACAAACTAAGATGTTTATTTTTATGGCGTGTATCACTTTGACAAGTGGTTTTTACACCATCATGACTTATTAGGTGTTAAAAAAAAATCCTCCCTTCTTGTCTGATTGCAGCTTTACTAATATCTGTACCCAAGTCAGAGTAATGTGGAGAATTACACAGTGGTGATGTCACTGATGTTCACTGCACAGATGTAAGCTGTTGTTTGGGGAACGGGGCCAAACAAAAACAGCTGTAAGTCCTGTTATGGTGATTAATCATGAAAATAAAAATTGCAGTTTAAATGGCGAAGACACGCATATTTCTGCCTCTGTGATTATAAAACGCAGGAATTTTAAAAGTTTAAACAGTTTCAGTTTCTAAATAACATCAGAAAAAATAAGTAATAAAATAAACATTTCATTACTGAGCAGATATTGCAAAAAAATACAGTCTATCTCCCGCCTAAAGAATGAACACAGCTTTGATTTCAGGAAAAAACACCTGTGGTTTGAAGTGTATGTACTATTATTGTGTTTAATAAACAAAAAGATAAGGACAATATACGATCAGTTTAACAGGATCAACCTCCAACCTCTGTGTGTCTTCTTCAAACCATCTCACACTTTGTGCTGCGTGTCCGACAGTACTGTAATCCACAAGCCTATAATCCCGACCGATCAAAGGTTGAGATTAGGAAAGATGTGGGAGGGGCAGAGAGCTGCAGACAGGAGGATGGTGAGTGAGAGTGAGCGCAAACATGACAGCGGCAAAGCAAGCCAGGCAATGATTGGTGCGCACAAATAGCCAGCCAATCACAGCACGGGCAGGGAAAATAACAAGGCAAGGGAGAAGCTGGTGAAAGAGGGAAGAGCTATGAAAAAGCGAGGGAGAAGGTGAAATCTCAGCAGCACAGAGAAGAGGCCAAACAAGCAGGAGCGGAAGGATGATCGGAGGTGAAAGCGCTGATCAGTGAGGTCTCCAGAGAGGGAGAGGAGAAGAAAGAGATGAGCAGCAAGAGGGGGGTAAGCAGCCAGCACACACAACATCCATCAGCTCAGGCAGCCATGCTCTGAGCCCTGGAGCAGCAGGGCTACGCAGACACTGCACAGGCCCCACATCAGGCCTATAGCTCAGCCCTCCATCCCGGCCAGCAACACCGGGGCAGGGACAAGACAAGATTCCCTTCACAACACCTGTGCATAAAAGCCATGAGGACAGCCAGGAAGGGCAGTGTAGAGATGCCTGCGTTTGTGCGCCAGCTGGTGAAAGAAACAGAAAAGAGGGTCAGCTCTTTCTTCAAAGGGGGCCGTGGAGGAACAGCAGAAGGAGAGCAGCAAGGGGAGGGGGAGAAGGAGGAGGTCATCCCCAGCCCCTACCTAGACCGGCCAGTCCTGGACAAGCTCACAGAGGAGGGCTGCGCCCGCTGGGGCCTCACCTATGCCCTAGGAAGTATGCAGGGCTGGAGGGCCAACATGGAGGACTTCCACAACTGTGTGCCACAGCTGGGTGGAGAGCTAGCTGACTGGAGCTTCTTTGCAGTGTTCGATGGCCATGCAGGCAGCACGGTGGCTCAGTACTGCTCCCAACACCTTCTGGGTCACATCCTGGCTACGGGTGAGAGATCTGTTCAGTGACACCTGACAGTGTGTGTGGGTGTGTGTGTGGGTGTTATCTTATAAGGATATTATTTTATGAGATATTCAGAATTTTAAACAGGCTGGTGATTTTCCTTTGTTATTAGTCATCAATATGATGACTGCTATAGCTGCTGGGTTCAGAAAATACTGTTTGTGCTCACAGATGGAATAGGACCAGAAGATGACCCGCCAAAAGTGAAAGGGGCCATCGAAGAGGGCTTCCTCCAGACAGACAAGCACCTGCACTCTGTGGCCCGTCGAGAGGGCTGGGAGAGGGGCGGCACCACTGTGGTGGCCACTCTCATTTCGCCATATTACATCTACTTTGCCAACTGCGGTGACTCAAGGGCCATGCTGTGCCGGTCTGGGCAGGTCTGCTTCTCCACTGAGGACCACAAACCTTACAGCCCTCTGGAGAAAGAACGTATTGAGAGCGCGGGTGGCTCCGTGTCCCTCCAACGGATCAACGGCTCCTTGGCAGTGTCACGCGCTCTGGGAGACTTCGGCTACAAGGGGGCAGAGAACCGGACCCCGAGCCAGCAGATGGTTTCACCTGAGCCAGAAGTGTGTGTGGTGGAGCGCTCGCCGGCAGATGAATTCCTGGTGCTCGCCTGTGATGGCGTGTGGGACACCATCAGCAACGAGGAGCTGTGCGCCTTCATCCACAACCGGCTGCGTGTCTGCACCGACCTGAGGGACGTCTGCACTCAGGTCATTGACCTCTGCCTCTATAAGGTCAGCACTGTTACACATACTTACTGCATGCACTTGTGTTGCTGTTCAGTAGTCTGAATAACAAATCCTTTCAACTGATTAAAAACACAATTTCAGTTTCAAGCTGAGTTACATAATTTTTAATCAGCTTTGAATTTTATGGCTTCTAATCAAGTAAAGTAATCTACTACAAGACTGACTGTGTTTTTAAACAAAGACATAATGGACTGGATATTCATTTTGATATAAGGTAATGGGCTCTGCTTCCTCTTTTAAAGATAACCCTTTAAAAGTTCTGAGGTTGTAAAGGGTGCAGAGTCACACGTGGAAATATTTTCCTACTACATAAATGTTCATCTCTGCAACTAAAAACTTATCTTGAGGTAAAACTGTTTTAAATCAAAAATAAGCACGAAGTCACCATTAAAGTTTGGCCCATGTTGGTCCTGAGAACCCACTGAGTTTTAGGAAAAAACACGAGATAAAACAGAAGCAGACTAAGTGAACTTCCTCACTAATTCTATAGCACATGCAGCATATTTGTGAAAGGTGCTCCAAAGTCAATAAACACATCCATATATGGAAGCTTAGAATATAAAAGTTTTTTTTTAAATCCATAGATAAGTAATGTTCTTCTTAGAGTGTGCTAATGTAAGCTCTCAGGGTCACTTTCTCATGGAGCTGAGGGGAGCTGCAGAGTGAGATGACAACTGAGGCCCGAGCAGAGGCACATACAAGACGTGCGCCTTTTGTTAAATGTCTTGTTTTCTTCTTAGTTTAAAATGTCATGCCAGTCCTGTGTGGTTAAATGTGGCTTTTCCTGATCCTTTTCAGCAAGTTCTGCCATACGTATCAATCCATTTACAGCCTACAATTTAAAATGAACAGGATCTTTGGCTGAAATGGCAAAAGTTAAAAATTTAAAAAGCAAGACTGACCTCAGCTTAAGCTTTGGTTTAGTCTCACTGAGACTGCCGCTGCTGTTCATGGTACAACAGACTATCAGACAGCCTTAAAATAGACTGCAGGGGTGTCGGAACAGGTTACATCGCATTATTCAGGGTTCCCATGAGGCCTAATTACCGACACTCTCGCTCAGAGATTTTACAGAATGTTACAGGAATGTAACGAAAGAAAGTAGATATTGGATTAAAATTACTTGGCAGATTACAAGCACAGAAACACATTAAGATAAACTTGAGCCACATGTGCACTCTGTTGGGTCCTCATATCACGCTTATGTAACAGTGCTTCAGCTTGGATGTGCACAATGACCTCAAAATGTCATGCCTTCTTCCGCACTCCATTTCCATTTTGCAGCTCCCCTGAGTCTGTGTGACATTGGAGTGCAAACGCTGATGTGAAAAAAAAAAAAGATCTATTTGTAAAACTGCTCAAGTGGGATGTTTCGTGAGTTGACATTTGTAAGGTCAGCCATCATTACTCACCTCTGCTGATGCCGTTTTGTTCCACAGGGCAGCTTGGACAACATCAGCATCATCTTGCTGTGCTTCCCTGGAGCCCCCCAGCTGTCAACAGAGGCATTACACCAGGAGGCTGAGCTGGAGGACCTGCTAGAGTCCAAGGTGGCAGGTGTGTGGGTAAAGATGCTTTGCAAAGGACAGTGACAACCTTCATATTAGCAACCTGGAGTCTGTTTTTGCCATGGTGTAATGTTTCAATTCTCTTTGGTGTTTCAATGGTTTGCAAAAAAAAAAGTTTGAACGATTTGTTAATCAATGTTGTTTTTCCAAGATAATTATTTAAATGATTTCTGACATCACGTGTCTTGGGTAAAAAACAAAAGCAAAACACCAAATCTGTGATTCTTGCCATGAACCTATTTACTTGTGAACACGGGCACTATCATTTATTCTGAGTAAGTCCCACATTTACCCTAGTGTGGTAAATACTCATTAGAAATCCTGATGTGTATTGATCCACAGCTGAAAATAGTCCTAAAAACTCTGCTCTTTACAGACTTTTGCCTAAATCTAAAGTGTCCAGTGTATATTAGAAGGAAACTCTCTAAAAATGCATCTTTCTTTTTAATCAGAGATTTATGATGAGCTGTGTGTCAGAGGGGAAGAGCCTGAGCTGCTGTCCGTCCTCACAGTTCTTGCATCCACTGTCATCCCTGGATTACCACCAGGTGGAGGCATACAGAGCAAGTAAGACACAAATGAGCATCTATGTGCATTTGTGCATGTAAACCACGTTCTGCTGGATGCAATAGTGATTACATTGTGTTACTTCTGTGTGTTACAGGAGGAACTGCATTATCTCTGCTTACTATCAACAACGTGATGCGCACAAGCCCATGATACCAAATGTGAGTGACAGTTACAATTAGGTCCATACGTTTTTGGACAATGAGACTTTTTTTTTTATAGTTTTTCCTCTCTGCACCAACGCAGTGGATTTTAAATCAAACAGTAGAGATATGATTGTAATGTTTCTTCAGCTTTAATTAAAGAGGCTTTACAACAGGATTTACAATAATGTGCAAACCACTGGTTACAGTCAAAAACAAGAATGCAGGATTAGACTTTGCCCAAAAAACACGGTTCTGTAAAAAAAAGAAATGTGTTATGGCATGGGCCTGTAAGGCTGCCAGTGGAACTGGGTTATTAGTGTTTATTGATGATGTGACTGCTGATAGAAGCAGCGGGATGAACTGTGAGAGTACAAAGCTGTACTCTCAGCTCAGGTTCAGCCAAATGCTGCAAATCTGATCAGGCAGCACTTCACAGTGCAAAAAGATAAGGACCTAAAGAATTGTGCAAAGGCAACCCAAGAGTTTCCTAAAGCACAGAAAAGGAATATTTTTCAATGGCCAATTCAGTCAACTGATCTCACTGGGACAGAGCATGCTTTTACTAAAGTGACTGAAGACAATAGTGATGGCAGAAAGACCCACAGTCAAGCTGCAAGTGAAGGCAACTGCAGTAAAGGTTTGGAAGAGCATCTCAAGGGAGGAAAGAGCATTTATTGGTGTCAGGGGCCTCTCTGTCTACAACCAAGCAAAGGATTTTTACCTGAGTCATAAAAACAATCCTCATATGCACATTTATGGTAAAACCATGTCTGCACAGTCAATGCAAACTTTTTTGATAAACCCCTTGAATTAAAGCTGAAAGGCTGCACTTTAATTATATCTTGATTGGTTGATGTAAATATCCACTGTCATGATGTAGAAAGGCAAAAAAACAACTAATGGACCTAACAATACAAGTAAAAAGACATTGTTATTACACAGTGAGCTCACTCTTTGTTACTTTATCTGTCTGTCTGTTCAGGGTCTGGGAGGCTCTTGAGAAGGCCAAGGGATTTAGATTTTGTCTCCAAAGTTCCTCAAAGGAAAGGGACTGTAATAAATGTGAATATTAAACCTGTTTTTTTTTTTCATGTGTGCAGTTTCACAACAAGACAATGGTGTTTGTTAGCAGCACCATCTTGTCATGACAAAAAAAATGCAAAAACAGATCTAGTAAAGCCTGATACTTTATATTTATACAAGAAAGATATTTTGTAAAAATGACTCAGAGACACTGACCCAGCAACCAAACCTCAACCTCAATAAACAGAAAGTGCAGATGACAAATTGAACTGAATAACAACCAACTGTGGCGTAGTTCGTTTTCATTGGATAAAATAAGAAAGATTAGTACATGCAGGGTTGCATTTTGAAAATTATGATTTAAGACTGTACATATGTGTGTGTGCATGTGTGTGTGCGTATTAAAGAATGAACAGGTTTACCTTTCCTCTTCAGGAAACATTGTCACCATTAAATAAAACCTAGCATGCAGCTAACATGTGTCCATTTGTTGTGACAGGAAATGCTAGTAGTTCATGAGACAGCTCGTGGGGATGCGCACAATCTTTTTCCCTCGTTGCTGTGAGTGAAAGGCAAATAAACTCATTAGACATCTGACTACTCACAATTCATGTCACGGGATCTAAAAACGTTTTTGACAAAGTGTTTTACATTTTCAAAAACAAGAACAAAATATGTCAAATTTGAAATACCTTACAAATGGAACTAAAAGTCTCCCCCCTAAAATGCATCCCGCTGTGATTACTGTCTAAATTTACATGAATGCGTTCAGCATGTACACAATTTGCAATTCTTTCTAAACATATATTATTTCTAAACACATTCAAAGGTAAAGTTTACATGAAATGGGATTTTCTACCATGAACTGATGCCTTATTCCCCTTTTTTACAGCTGACAAAACAAACAGCACCAGAGCGGGTCAGTTTCTGGATGAGTTATTTTACTGCTTACTGCATTGTAACATTACGTCAGCGAGTCATTTTCTGTGTTACATTAAGGAAATTACATTGAGTGTCACTATTGTTTTAAATCTAAATAAAGAATATTTGTCTGATGACTTGCTGTGCTCGTTTCTTAAATAATTCATTTTGAACACAGTGAAGACAAAGTATGAGCGGCGACTGCCGAAAATGGGTGATTATGATTTCTATGGAAGTTTTTAACCTCACACTCATCATCTACTCACAAAAACCCTCCTTATAAATGAATGAATTACAAACGGCTTTTGTTGCATAGTAAAGGATTTCATCTAGTTACCTAAATCTTTCTCTCTGCTCTGCTGACGTGATCCTGTGACTATCTGCAAAGCCCTCGTTGACATAAGGACGTCCTCTAAGAGTCATGTTTCATTAGATCTCAATTGAAAACCCTGGATCTCTTTCATGATTACTCTGAATTTCAATGACGTCCAATTGAAAAATGTCTTTCTTGGTGCTTCTGAGCTCCTGCAGTTTGTTTGAGAAGCTCTGTTTAAATACAAATCATATTTGAACTGTTTTATATATGCAGCTAGTTATCTAAGAGGAGATATTTTGGTTTCTACGTTCACTAACCACCTTATGTACAACGTTGTCTTCTGAGGAACTCAGGGAGGGGGACATGTGCAGTGTCCTTAAATCAGCAGTCCTCTTTAAGTGCTCCTTCAAAGCTTCTCTCATCTGATTGCGTTTCTGTGAGTCAGTCACTTCAGGACATCAAACCCCTCTTCAAATGATGCTGAAGTCTTTAACACATATTTGTCCTTTAACTTCCTCTTTCACCTCACCAAACAGCGTATGAACAATTATTTGCTGTCTACAGTCTGCTTTTCAGAATATTCTATTCTTGGATATTTTTTAATACAGAACAAATTACTCATAATAAAAAAACAATCCTAAGGAAATGTAAGGCTTAAATATAGAGAACCCAAAGAACAATTGAGGTGTTGTTATGATGCTATCTATCCACACTGGTTTCCTGTAAGCGATTATTCATAATCCCCAGTGCTCCCACACCACCAGAGAAACCATTCTGATGGCTGTAGCTCTGCCGCGGGCCCTGGTGAGCTGTTTCACTCAGCTGTTTCTGCAGCAGTGCCAGAGACACCTTGTTGGACACCATGAACTCATTCACTGAGATCATCTCCCCTGACAAACGACGCCCCACTTGTACTTCAGCCAACGCGCCCGCATCCGTCTCGCTGTCGCACACAGTCTCAACCGAGCCGTCTGTGTAGCGGTGGTGGGATGAGATGGGCTGCACGGCGTTGCGTTTGATGCGTTTTGGCCTAAAGTGTGCCAGTTGACGCAGTTGACGCCTCTGTTTGTGATTTTTGTTGTGGAGACAGGGGCAGCAGAGCCACCAGCAGCCAGGGGTGGAGCAGGAACAGAGCTGATGCTTCCCTGAGCAGACCAGCTTTCCCAGGATCCAGTTGAGAGTCTGCTTGATGACGATAGAAATGACGTTGAAAAGTGAGTAGATGCAACAAACCCCCATTAAGATGAAAAGGCAGTTTCCAAACCGGTAGGCCTCCTGAGATTCGTACTGCTGCCTCTGGCTGCTCACCAGGTCCCCGAAGCCAATGGTGCTGAAGGCCACGAAGCAAAAGTACAGAGAGTCCACGTAGCTCCAGTTCTCCATGGAGCTGTACAGAGTGGAGGCACTGCAAGCAATCACAACAGATGCTATCCCTAAGATCAGCATCACGTAATAGACGGATGGCTTCCATCCTTCCAGACTGTCCTCTTCACCAGATGACTCCTCCCTGCTCGACACCACCCCAACTCCAGCACACCTCAGCCGACGCTCATGACACCAGCGCATGATGTAAGCTAACATGGTGATGATCCTCTCCAGGAAGAGGTTAAAAAAGAGGATAGTGGCAGCACAGCCAATGAGACCATAGAAGATTAGGAATATTTTTCCTGCTATGGTTGCTGGTGTGGTCATGCCAAAACCTTAGAGAGAAAACACAAAATACAAGGTTAAATAAATGATCACAGCCGTGAGCAACATTCCAAAACTGAAGAAAAATCTGGAAAAAAAGTTAAGTGGAGACTTACCAATAGTGGAGACCACTGTGCCCACAAAGTAGAAAGCTCCAGAAAAGTCCCAGCGTGGCCTTAATGCGTCCACCCTGATGCCAGCTCCGTTTGCCTCCTCATATTGCCTCAGCAGAGTGTGCAGGGCGCCCAGGTTGACCCTGTATCTCCTGGTGAAGTTGTCCAGCTGCTGTTTCCACAGGAGGCGTGCGCGGAGCTCAAATGGGTGTTCCAAGGCTGAGAAGATGGCAGCTCCGCACAATAAGTAGAGCAGGATGAGTCCGGCCAGCAGGCAAAAACGAGCATTGTCCTCTTTCATGGGCGCTCTGGGGCAGCAGCAGCAGCTACCTGCAGCCCTCCTCTTAGCCATGAGCACAGCAGCAGCAGCGGCGGCACAGAGACACCACTGATACAACATGCACCGCCTCTGCCGGCGCTGCCAAGTCACAGACTCACCGTGCGTGTTACATGCATCAACAGGCACAAATATACATGCACTAGCAGAATGAAACTTCTGGTTTAAACACGCATGCATACATTTGGCTCTAACATCTCACAGGCAAGCTTTCTGAAGAAGTTTTTGAGGACAGGTTGATCGTTTTGTTGAAAAAATTTCACATCAGACGAAATATCTGTAATAAAATGAGCAAAAAAATAACAATGCAGATGCAGATTAGTCAGATGCGGTTGCAAAATCTTAAGTTTAATAGGTTCCTTTAACATGACAAATTGTCAGAAAACACTTCTTGTAAGTAGCAGTTTATGTCTTATAATCCACATAACATAAAATACTGAATGTTTAAAGTAAATAAAAACCACAGTACCTGGTCTCGCTGGCAGCACCGTTCACTTAAGCGCTGCAGATCTGCGTGTGCTCATTCCATGGATGTTCTGAACAATGACCAGCCAAAGGAAGCCTCTTGATTTTGTATCTGTGTGTGTGTGTGTGTGTGTGTGTGTGTGTGTGTGTGTGTGTGTGTGTGTGTGTGTGTGTGTGTGTGCGTGTGTGTGTGTGTGTGTGTGTGCAGAGACACTGTCTGATGTTTCATCTGTCAAACACTCACATCATCATCCCTCTTCTCACCGCCTCCTCCTCCGAGCACACCCTGATTGGTGCAGTCAACTCTTCATTTGTAAAAGTGCTTTTTTTTCTTTTCTGTCATCAAACACCAGTTTAACATTAAAAAAAACCTCACGTTTGCGTCAAATAACTGATCGTGTGGTCATTTCCTTTCATCAAAGCATGGGACAAGAATTTCTTCTGATAAAGTAAAACTAACATTAACCTCTTAAGCCCCAAGCCTAACTGATCTCCGGCCTTTTGCCCCTGCATCAGGGGGCGTTGGGGCTTAAGAGGTTAAAAAAAACATTGTAGTAACAGGATTAGAAGCTTGCAAGTTCTGCTGAATTAATCAAAGTGGGCAAATTTTAGTTTCCCCTGCTTTCTTGTTGCCAGTGCTCAGGTGCCATTTCCACACCCACTTAGAGTGCTTTTTTGTTATCGCTGCAGACTGTGTGGGAGGATTTGTTGAGCATGGCTATCGGTTCCTCTGTCTGTTCGTTCCTTTAATCTTGTCTGGTGCTGCAGGTAAGGGCATGGGGTTCCCCGCGCCTGCCGACTAATGGCTGAATGTCAGCAGCAGGCAGGTGTGGAAAACAGACAGTCCATCTGCCTTGTCACGCAGAAAAGCAGCAAAGCAGCAAACCAACAATTTCTCTTGATGCTGGTGTTTCAAACGATAAAAAGCAAGATTTAAGGCAATCAGCTTTCACAAGCAAACAAGACGTAAAAGATCACATTTGTGGAAACTTGATCATTTTTTATTGATGTGAAATACTTAAAAGTGCATAAAATACTAACTACTTGCTTAGCTTTAAAAAGATAGAAGTGAAAAACGAAACATAGTGCTGACAACAATGCAACAAATAATCATCTACAGAAACAGTGACCCTGCTAACACAGTGATTTTCAGCTGGGGTAAGGTTGACTGTGTTCTCTCTTGGCTTTTCTTGTCTCTGTCCTCTCTCCTCCTGCCTTGGGCCCATGAATGTATTTCAGTAAACCTTGTTGAAGTAGATTTCCAATTCCTAAACTATAATAAACCTCCTCTGGTCTCTGTCCATCGGGACAGCAGGCCTGCTAGAGAGGCTATCATTGAGGATGCACAGATGTATCTTTTGCATTAGTATTTTTACCTGAAACATATAGAAGGAACACTGTATACAGCTGAAATTTACAAACTGTGGAGGGCAGATGGGGTCTTCAATCAGCTAGTCTTTTGTATGCACACATTCATTCGGGTATTTTAGATGATTTATTATGTGATCAAACATTCTGACCTTCACTGTCTGTGTGTGTTTTACTCTTGTTGTGATTATGACTAATTAATGTAACTGTTACTTATAATATGTATGTAACTTTGTAATTTTAACATGTTGTCGCCTCTTGGCCAGGACTCCCTTGAAAAAGAGGTTTTTAATCTCAATGGGACTTTTCCTGGTTAAATAAAGGTTAATAATAATAATAATTCTTTTTTTTTTTTAAGTCTAACACTGTTGTACCTCATAAATCAGATCTGAAAATGCAGCTGGTTAAATTCATGACGCGATCGTGACACACACATCAAACTGAGGATGTCTCATCTTTCTAACTGCTTGTTGTGTTGACTCCTCTCTCTTCATGTCTCTACCTCAGCAGAGTGAAGCTGACCCCCCACCCACTTGAAACGTAAAGGCAAATAGGCGGAGCGGTTAGTGCTACGTTTGTGCAGATTTGTGCAGGTAAAATTAGCGTTTGTGCTGCTACGGTTTCCGAGATATTAAACTTTATTTTATAGGTCATTCAAAGGTCACCATCCCCCCAGACTGCTCCAAAACGGGCCAAAATGGTCTACTTTTTTAGTGTTACGTTTGTGCTGGTTTGTGCAGGTAAAATTAGTGTTTGTGCTGCTTCTGTTTTAAAGATATTAATGAAAATGTAAAGGTCAACCAGCCCCCCCACATTACCCAAATCCAACAAAAGTGGTATCAAACGTTTGTGCTACGTTTGTGCTGGTTTGTGCTGCAAAGATTTTCGTTTGTGCTGCTATCATTTTAAAGATATTAATAACAATTTCTAGAGGTCATCAGAGGTCAACCAGCCCCCCCACATTAATTAAATCAAACAAAATGGGTGTCAATCAACTGTGCTACGTTTGTGCTGGTTTGTGCTGCTAAAATTTTCGTTTGTGCTGCTTCTGTTTTAAAGATATTAATGAAAATGTAAAGGTCAAAAGGTCAACCAGCCCCCCCACATTACCCAAATCCAACAAAAGTGGTATCAAACGTTTGTGCTACGTTTGTGCTGGTTTGTGCTGCAGAAATTTTTGTTTGTGCCGTTATTATTTTAAAGATATTAACAAAAATTTCTAGAGGTCAACCAGCCCCCCCATATTAATGGAATCAAACAAAATGGATGTCAAACGTTTGTGCTGGTTTGTGCTGCAAAAATGTTTGTTTGTGCTGCTAACATTTTAAAATGTTTAATAAAATAACGTCTTGATGCGTGCTTAATCATCCAGGTAAGTAAATCCCAAAAGGTTGATTCTGTTCATCTGGACATTTTCAGTTGGAGAAACGTTTCGTCACTCATCCAAGTGACTTCTTCAGTCTCAGCTGACTGCAGGTTTCCCCAACCTTATAAACACCCGTGAGTGAAGTTGCCCCCCCTACCTTCTTCAAATCGAACAAAATTGATGTCAAACATTTGTCCTGCAAATTATTTTGTTTGTGCAGGTTATGTTTCCCTAATTTTATAAACAGTACATGTACAGTGAGAGAGAGATGTTACATCTGTCTTCACTTGCATCCCAGTCATAGAAGCGTTGGAGGTCGTTCATAAGAGATTACAGGATCATCCCAACCTCAGCAACAGGACCACTCTCAGCACTGATCAGTTGTGTTTGCTTTTGGAACTGTCTTAATTCCACCTATTTTGCATAAGGGTCAGTACAGGCAGAAATCTAGGTGTGCCATGGGTTCCCACAGGCCCCTGGTCAAAGTCACCAAACCAGTTCATAAGCAGGTACAGGTGTGGTCAGAAGGGTCCTCAGAGGCACTGCTTTTCCACCACAGGCCGCCACACACGACAACACCACAGACTTTCAGGAATATACAGAAACTGTCACTGCCTACATCCCAAAATGCATCGATGATGTCACAGAGACCAGGACTATCACTGTCTGGGCCAATCAGAAACCATGGCTCACAGGTCAGGTTTAAATGCTCCTAAAGTTGAAAAATGCAAGCCTTCAGAGCCGGGAATTAGGTGAGTCTAAGAACAGCAAGGGCAAACCTGTCACGTGGCATCAGCTACAGCAAAGCTTCAGCGACAGCAGAGACACTTGGAGGCAGTGGCAAGGAATACAAACCATCACAGACTACAAGCCCACTCTACAGACCGTGGTGACACAATCCCCAGACAGTGTGTGGAGATCCCTCCACCATCATTACTGAACCCAAGAAGTCATCTATCTCCTGCTTTAAGGACTACCGTCCTGTCAAACTCACCTCCATCATTATTAAGTTAAGTGCTTTGAACGGTTAGTCATGCATCAAATCAAATTATTGCTTTCCCCCAACCTGGATCCATTTCAGTTCGCATACCGGTCAAAACGCTCAACCGATGATGGAATTTCAACTGCCCCTCACTCAGCCCTCACACATCTGAACACTAGAGACTCATATGTCAGAGTGCTGTTCATAGACTTCAGTTCAGCATTCAACACCATCATTCCCCAGCAACTCATTCACAAACTGGATCTGCTGGGGATCAGCACCTTGCTGTATAACGGGCTGCTAGATTTCTTGACAGGAAGACAGCAGACAGTACGGGTCAACAGCAACACCTCCAGCCCAAGAACACGGAATACGGGGGCTCCCCAAGGATGTGTGTTGAGCTCCCTTCTCTTCACTCTGCTGACCCACGACGAGATCTACTACAGGGGTGAAGTTAACCATCTGCCAGAGTGGTACAGCAACAACAACCTGTCCCTGAATGTGGAGAAGACCAACAGTGACTCTACTTCCTCTGCAAACTGAGAAGCACAAGAGATTCAACCCCCATTATGAGCACCTTTTACAGAGGCACAGTTGAGAGTATCCTCACCAGCTGCATCACTGTGTGGTATGACTCCTGCATTGGGTTCTGCAGGAAAAAATGACAACGGGTAGTGAGAGCAGCCGAGAGCATTGTGGGGACCTCTCTTGCCTCCCTCCCCAGGAGATCTACTGCACCTGCCTCATCTGGAAGGTCGTCTCCATTACAGGTGACTCCACTCATCCCTTCAACAGCGTCTTCAGTTTGCTGCCATCAGGAAGGATACTGAAGAG